TCCTTCCACAGCTGACCTCCCTCGCTGACCGTTATGTGAGTCACTTTGAGACCGAGGGGCCCCACGTCTTGCTGTACTTTGACTCGGTGAGCAAAGAGAGGCAACACAGAGGGAATGGGTGGCATTAAGTTTACTGAGCACGTGTTATGAGTTTAGGAGCCAGCTAGTCAGTGGCCCGTGCTCTTAGAACTTGTGATATGAGCAGGGAGACAGACAAGAGTGTGCCCAGCAGTGTTATGGTTGGGCTGCTGGGGAGGCCATGCTGCCTGCTCTTGGGTGGGGGCTGAGCCCCTACTGCAGCTGGATGGGCCAGAGCCAGGTGGCAGGAAAAGGGCTTGAGAGTGAACCATTCATAAGGTTGAATTTATTCAACTTTGGGGGGCTGCCTTTATTTTTTGTTGTTGGTGACCTTCCTAGGTTTTCTTGTTTTGTTTTTTATTTAAAATGTATTCTCTTTTATATAGTAATGATGGTTATAGATGAGTTGTTTTTGTTTCTTTGTGACCTTATTTGGACAAAAACAAAGAGTAATCAACCTTCTGATGGCTTTCAAAGGTTTTTTGAACATTTACTCTAAGTTCTTGGAAAAATGTGAAAAAGGTATGTTAATACATAACTCCATTAGCCAGGTATTTGGGGGTCAGGAAAGGCCCTCCTGCTCAGTGCAGACACCCAGACCCTGTTAGCCTCAGCAGCCAGGCAGAGGAGTCTGGTTGAACACAATGGAAAACAAGGAGCCAGGAAGATTTCTGGGCAGGGAGTTGACCATTCAGCAGCCCAACTTAGGAGGGAAACTGGCAGGGTATTGGGCTGGACTGGACCAGTGTGGGTGTGAGGAGAGGGGTTTGGGCCTAGAGCATGAGCAGTGGATCGTGGAAGATGGATGGAGTAATAGCACCTACCACCAGGTTATGGTAGATAAGGGAGGCCCAAGTTGCATCAATGACAAAGTGAGGCTGTCAGGAAAGTGAGTGGGTTTGGGGTCAGGCAGAGTAAATTTGGAGAACTTATATGTCCTGCAAAAAATCCTAATGTAAGAATAAGGTTGAGTGTTCAGTTTCGGAATCATCAGCCTGGAAGGGTTTGGTGAAAATCAGGGCTAGCTGAGACCACCCCCTCTAAGGGGCCACAGGGGGAGGAAGGGGAAAGCCAGGGATGGTGCTGCGCCTCTGCGGAGGAAGAGGAGGGGTGTCAGCAGTGACCAGCTGAGAGCTGGGAGAGGCCCGCAAGCTAGCCTTGGACTTAGGGAGAGTTTCATGCAGAATGTGTCCATACATGAGACCGTGTAAGGGGCCCAGACACTGGATACTGGGATGAGGTCACCATCTGGGCAGTGAAGTCAGCAGAGACCTTGGGAGCAATTTTTAGAGTCCTGGCAGCTAGAAGGCATCAGAATGCGGTGGATGTTAAAGACCCACAGGATCCAGAGAGGCCAAGGGAATAGCCTGCAGAGCCCAGGGGTGAGCTGACCTCCCCTTCTCCCCTCCCCTGTGCCAGGTCACCACCCACCGGGAGTGCGTGGGCTTTGGAGCGGTGCAGGAAGTGGCCATAGGGCTGGTGCAGCCTGCCAGTGCAGCTCTGTATGACTACTACAACCCTGGTGAGTGCTTTGGGGACATTTGGGAGTTTTGGGGTAGGTAGGTACCCCCATGTGGGCTATTGGGAACTGGGGCAGGGAAGGGTGGCAGGGAAGTCCTGTGGCTACATGGGACTGGGGAGGCCAAGGTGGGGGGCCCTAACTCCCTTCTCTGCTTTTCTCCAGAGTACAAATGTTCTGTATTTTATGGGGCACCAACTAAGCACAAACTCTTGTCCACACTGTGCTCGGCTGATGTCTGCCAGTGTGCTGAGGGTGAGACTCAGGGCCTGGGGCAGGGATGGAAAGTTGGCATGGCAGAAGCCTGCACTGTCTCACCCGGGCCCCTTGACTTCAGGGAAGTGCCCTCGACAGCGTCGTGCCCTGCAGCAGGGGCTGCAGGATGAGGATGGGTTCAGGATGAAGTTTGCCTGCTACTACCCTCGTGTGGAGTACGGTCAGTCTTCCTGCTGGGCCTGGTCCTGACCCTCTGTCAAGGTCCCTTTGGTTATGCATGCTCCTCTCAGGCCTCTTTGCTCTGACACCACTGTGCAGCCCTCTTCGCCTCCGGGTAACTAACCTTCCCTCCCTTCTCCTACAACTCCCTCTTAGGGTTCCAGGTTAAGGTTCTCCGAGAAGACGGCAGAGCTGCTTTCCGCCTCTTTGAGACAAGTATCACCCGAGTCCTGCACTTCAGTACGAAGGGAACAGATGGGTGGCAGGACTGGGGGACCTTGGGGTGCTGAGGTCTGCCCTTGGGGGCTGGCTGCCTGGAATAGTGAAAGTTCAGAGAGTCTGAACTCAAATCCCCTCGGCCTCTTAGAAGCTCTGGGCTTGTCCATAAATAGGAAAGCAGTCGCACTACCACCCCTTGGGAGTGCTGAGGGTTAAATGAGAGGATTTCAGAAAGCCTCTGACCCCAAGCTTGGCCGGTACCTTCTCTTCCCCACTGATAACTGTTGTGCACCATGTCCCCCCAGCAAAGGATGTCAAGGCCACTGCTGGTCAGACCCGGAACTTCGTGGTTCGAGCCTCTTGCCGCCTTCGCTTGGAACCTGGGAAAGAATATTTGATCATGGGTTTGGATGGGACTACTCATGACCTCAAGGGAGAGTGAGTTCTCTGGGTGCCTGGTCTCGCTCTTCTATGCCTTGTGAGGGAATGGATTCTGGCACCTCAACCCTGACCTGCTCTCTCCTTCTTGCCCGTCCTCCATACCCTTGCTGACTGCCCTTTTGCCCCTGCAGCCCCCAGTACCTGCTGGACTCGAATAGCTGGATCGAGGAGATGCCTTCAGAACGCCTGTGCCGGACCACCCGCCAGCGGGCAGACTGTGCCCAGCTCAATGACTTCCTCGAGGAGTATGGCAGTCAGGGGTGCCAGGTGTAAGGGCTGCTCCCCCACCTCCTCAGGAAGAGCCCGAACCGGGGAGTGGTGCTGCCTGGATGGTTGTGCGTCCAGTCCCCTGAACACAGCCCCAGGGCAGGGCCAGGGATTCAATAAAGGCTTTTGGCAGCAAAGTGTCAGTGTGTGTCTCCAGGACTGACAGCAGTGACCCCACTGTCCCTCCCAGCTTCTGGGAAGCCCAGTCCAGGCTTTGCCTAATTTTAGGCTCTCAGAGCCTGCATGACCCTTGGGGTGTCCAGCTCTGCCTGAATCCTCCCAGATGGCTTACTGGGAGCTCAGTCCATCTCAGGACCACTCAGGCAGACTTGTGACCCAACAGCCTGCACCCTGAGGATCAGCATCCACACTGAGGCTGCCCTTTGGCTATGCCTGGAGGGCACACCATTGCCTTGATGTAGCCAGTCACTGCGGCCCCAAGCAAGGTGTGTGCTCAGCCCACACCTCGGCTCTTCTGCCTTAGGAGCCGCAGCTGTCCAGCCACACATTTCCCATTGTGTCCTTGTGCAGTTGACAGTTCTGGCATCAGTTGCATTTAGGTTTTAGGTCTGTTGAAAGCCTGCTGGCAGTTGATCGTTACTGTGACATTAGGTGACTTTCCCAGAGTTGTGCAACCCTCAGATCTGATGATGTCTTCATGCAGGTATTGATTTAAACAAGCCAAAGGCTGACTTTGATGTGTGTTAATATTTTGAGGAGATTGTTCTGCTGGGGTCAGCCCTCCCTACCTCGATGCCTAGCTCTCCCCAATTTGGTGCCACCCTTTGGGTCTTCAGGGCTAACCTAGAAATCCAACTAGAGAAATTTGCTGAGATCAGCTTTGATGGAAACCAAGACAGTTCAGCAGCCTGCCATTCAATCATTCAACAGAAATTTGGGAACTCTAACTCCCTTCCATGCCCTGTGCCAGGTTCCCCTCCTCTGTACAAAGGGTGATGTGGGAGAGCTATGTGGGGAATATAGTTGGGGCATTTGACTCAGTCTGGGGCAAGATAAGAAGGGGCAGGGGAGCCTTCCTGGAGGAGATGACATCTAAGTTGGATTAAGAAGTCTGAGGAGTCAGAGAGTGGGGCCCTGACCCAGCTGTAACTATTGACTTCCTTCCTGTGGACTGTGGAATCAATCGTGGGGGATGCTCAGTTATGCTGGGATTGCACACCCCCCAGGGCTGGATCTGTAACCTGTGGACTCTGAGCCCCAAGGCAGTCCTGTTCTGCCTGCACCTGGGAGCGTGAGTGGTTGACTGCAGAGAGAAAGAAAAGAAGTGCAAAGAGGAAGACGGAATGAAGAGCAGGTCCTGGCCCTGTCTCCAGGGCCTTCTCCACTGTCCCTGGCCTTCCAGGGCCACGGAGGTCCCCTCTCCTGCCCTCCTGCTATGGGGTTTTGTGTGATACACCTGTATTTCTACAACAATCCTTATTTTTGGCTCAAGCCAGCTCAAGTTGGTCTCATTTCCTTGTAACCAAGGAGTATCATCAGGTACATGATAAGAACTCTAAACTGGGGTGACATACAATTCATCATCTTCATGTTTTGAGAGTGAAATGGGGCACAGTTAACAGTTACAGGTATAAACTGGGATAGCCCAGGCAAACCAGGCCCTATGGTCACCCTACCTGTAAGTTAAAAGGAAAACACACAGATCACATTCGCCTCATTTTGTTCTTCAGGCGGTGGAGGACCTATTGGGCAGGATGGCCATTTTCTCTCTGAGACAAACTCTGCAGTGGTCAGCTGGCCCACGATGGTGGTAGTGGGTAGTAGGAGAAGGCTCAGGCCAGAGAATGGCCACATTTTCCTGCGTGGTTCATGTGAGGCAGAAAGCTAATTCTGGCTATGAGAGAAAGGTCAGGGTTGTGTTTCCCTTCCATTCTTCTTGATGGATGAAAGAGAAAAGGCCTGTTCTTTGAAAGTGAGCTTCCCAAGGCCAGTGAGACTGGTGAAGCCCTGGGAATCTGCCAGTGGGTGGGAGAGTGTGCAGGGACTGGAGGTTCAGGGAAGGAGTCAGGACAGCTGGAGCCGCAAGATGGATGGGCACGGGTGGTGCTCCACAGCTATAAGTGGCTGCGCTGGGTCCGCTGCTCAGGGCTCTGGCCATGCTGCTTCTTGGGCTACTGCTGCTGACCCTGATGGCTGGTGCCCGCCTGCTGTGGGGCCACTGGAAGCTCAGGAGCCTCCACCTCCCACCTCTTGTGCCAGGCTTCATGCACCTGCTGCAGCCCAACCTTCCCATCTATCTGCTTGGCCTGAGTGAGAAACTCGGGCCCATCTACAGAGTCCGCTTTGCCCTGCAAGGTGGGTGCCTGCTCCCTCTCTGACCCTACCATAGTGGGGAGGTGGGGTCCTCTCCTTGCTGATACCCTGCTTTGGCTCTCCCCCAGATGTGGTGGTGCTGAACTCTAAGAGGACCATTGAGGAGGCCATGATCAGGAAGTGGGTGGACTTTGCTGGCAGACCCCAGAATACATCCTGTAAGGGGTGGAGACATTTCTTGAGAGAAGAAGCAGGGGCTGGGGGAAGCCGGGAAGGTCAGGCCCTCAGCTTCCTTGGTCAATTCCACCCCCCACCCCACAGATAAGCTAATATCTAAGCACGCCCAGGACCTCTCACTAGGAGACTATTCCCTACTCTGGAAAGCTCACAAGAAACTCACCCGCTCAGCCCTGCTGCTGGGCGTCCGCAATTCCATGGAGCCCCTGGTGGAGGAGCTGACCCAGGAGTTCTGTGAGGTGAGGCTGGACTCCCACAGCTACTCCAAGTCAGCTTCCCCTCTCCCAGAAGCTCCCCGGCCTGTTCAGCTTATGCTCCTTCTCCACAGCGCATGAGAGCCCAGGCTGGCACCCCCGTGACCATCCAGGAGGAATTCTCTTTCCTCACCTGTAGGATCATCTGTTACCTTACCTTCGGAGACAAGGTCAAGGCTCTCTTGCCCACACATATGCCTGGGCCCACCCCTCCACTCCCCCCTGATCCTCTTCTGGCCTTAAACTGAAAGAATCCCCCTCCTTTTTTGGCAGGAGGACACCTTAGTACATGCCTTTCACAACTGTGTCCAGGACTTGATGGAAACCTGGGAACACTGGTCCATCCAAATTTTGGACATTGTTCCCTTTCTCAGGGTGAGGGGGTGGAGCCCAAACACACCTGGGTCCCTGGGAGAAAAGGCGGGGTGGTGGGAACAGGTTCCTTCCCAGCAGCTGCGTACTCTCGCTCCCTGCCCCAGTTCTTCCCCAACCCAAGCCTCCGGAGGCTGAAGCAGGTCTTAAACAACAGGGACCACATGGTAGAGAAGCAAATGAGGAGGCACAAGGTGAGAACTGTGCATGCAACGGGCTCCCCTCTGCCCCTAGCCAGGGATGCTACTGCCCCAGAGCTGGGCAGGTTCTCCAGCATCCCACCAGCCCTGGACCTGTCGCCATCCCAGATCCCTCTCCCCAGGCCAGGAACTCAGGCTGGCCCCTCCTCCCCTCCCCAGGAGAGCATGATGACAGGCCAGTGGAGGGACATGATGGACTACTTGCTCCAAGGGGTGGGGAAGCTGAAAGTGGAAGAGGGCCCCGGCCAGCTCTTTGAAGAGCACGTGCTTATGTCTGTGGTGGACCTCTTTATTGGTGGCACCCAGACCACAGCAACCACCCTCTCCTGGGCTGTGGCATTCTTGCTCCACCACCCTGAGGTGAGCTCTGGGGACAGGGGAAAGGCTGCTTCCTGGCAGCCTGGACAGGGTGGCAGGAACCCAGCTCACTCTGCCCTGAGGCAGACTGCTGAGGGAAGAGGGGGTCTCCTAATTGGCACAAAGGCTCCTGCAGGTTGCTCCAGATGGTGGCTGGAGTCTGGAAGGCTGGGTAGCCGTGAGTGGGCTAGCAGGGCTGGGACCCCAGACACCAGGCTTGTCCCCATTCTCTAGACTCAGCAGCGACTGCAGGAGGAGTTGGATGGTGGGCTGGGCCCTGAAGTCTCGGGCTCCCGAGTCCCATACAAGGAGCGCGCACGGCTGCCCTTGCTCAACGCCACCATAGCTGAGGTGCTGCGCCTGCGGCCCGTCGTGCCCCTGGCCTTGCCGCACCGCACTACCCGGCCCAGCAGGTGACTCGCGAGGGGTTGAGGCGAGTGGGACCTCAAGTGCGCTCCTGGCGGGCCTCTAATTCACACCCTTCCTTCAGTATCTCCGGCTACGATATCCCCGAGGGCATGGTCATCATCCCTAACCTCCAAGGCGCCCACCTAGACAAATCGGTCTGGGAGCGGCCACACGAGTTCCGGCCGGGTGCGTGGCGCGGGGTGGGGGGGTGGGGGGGAGGGCCGCGGCGCGGGCGGGTAGTACCGGGCGGCCGCTGAACCAGGTCTGTCCTCCCGCCCACAGAGCGCTTCCTGGACCCTGGCGCGAGCCTCAGAGGGCTGGCCTTTGGCTGCGGGGCGCGCGTGTGCCTGGGGGAGCCGTTGGCGCGCCTCGAGCTCTTCGTGGTGCTGGCGCACCTGCTCCGGGACTTCACGCTACTGCCACCCGCAGGCGCCCTGCCTTCTCTGTTGCCCCAGCCCTACTGCGGCGTCAACCTCAAGATGCAGCCTTTCCAGGTGCTGCTGCAGCCGCGCGAGGCGGGGGCCCGGGGCCTGGGCAAGAGCCAGTGACAGGGCAGGATGCGCTCTGGTCCCGGGTCTCAGTTTCTCCTTTTATTGCTCCCGGGCAAAGCCCTTCCCTCCCCCCTGTAAACATGATGCTGTGAGATCGTTGGTGGAGAAGGCTCCCTCAGGCGGCTGGGTGGTGAAGGTGGCCCCTGGCCCTTCTCTCAGCGCGACCCCTCAGTGCTCGGCAGTTGTACTGGGGCGCGGGAGAGGGGAGCAGGCGCTCAACCTCCCTGGGCCGGGGGCCGGTAGCCTCTTGGTCTCAGCTTCATTTCCGTGAAGGGCACGGAGAACTCGAAGCCCTTCCAGTAGTACCAGCTCACTCCCTAGCAAGGGGTTGTGGAGAGAGTCAGCCAGACATCCCATCTGCTCTCACCCATGCCCCTTTGGGGATGGTTCCCAGAAATCAGTCAACTGTCTTCCCTCCCTGCTGCCTTCATAACCCTCAACTGCAAAGGCATAATCATGAGCTGGCCCTTTATAGCCAATAAATCATCTCAAGATAACTTGTTGAGGTTGGCATTAATGTCCCTTTCACAGGTGAGGACCCTGAGGCACCAAGGGGCTCGGTAACTCGTCCTGTCCCACTGTCACACCCAGTAAGGCCAAGCCCCAATCACTGCCCACTCAGGCTGTCTCCAGCCCCTCACCTGGTGGTCCACAGTGCTCCCGTAGAGCCCGTTGAGGTTGGCATAGTGGCAGTTTCTGTACCACCAGGCTCCGCGGTATGAAACAGCACAGGAGATGAGCAAATTGTTGGGGTCTCGATCACGGGCAGAAAAGACACTGCCGCTGTGGTAGCTCATGGAGTCCCCTGGGCAGGCATGGAAGGAGCAGTGAGGGCCTCCCCTGCACTGCCCACCTTCCTCCCAGGCCCGCCCCTCACCTGCAGTGCCATGGTAGCCCTCCAGGTGGAGGCGGTAGTTCTCAGCAGCCGAGTCTACTCTGAAGGAGTCGTACTGGGCGAATACAGCCTCATTCCCAGCCTGCAGGTCCACACGCAGCGAGTAGTCACCAGATCTCGTCAGGCTGTGCAGGGCCTCGTTGCCTGGGGGTGGGGAGCGTGATTTCATCAGGTTCCTGGTGTCTGATCCATCCCTTCCCTGGTTCCCTCCCATCCTTGTGAGGCACCAACCTAGCCAGAACTCCCTGGAGATGTTCCCAAAACCATGGGCATAGTCCTCCCAGTCCCTCCAGAAGTCAGTTTGCCCGTCCATGCGGCGCTGGAAGACCTGGGAAGCAGGAGGGGACACCATCAGCCTGTAGCTCCTGGCACAGCAGCCCCTGCTTTGTGCCGAGTCCCTGGGCTTCCAGCTGCCACCCACCAGCCAGCCGCCCCCATCAGTCTCCATGTCACAAAACACGCTCAGAGGCCGCTCGCGGTTGCCATTGAAGAAGATGGTGGTGACCCTGGAGGTCCTGGCCCCGTTCTCCATCTCCTCTCCACAGTCCCTGGGGAAGGGGACCCGCAGTCCACCTGGGGAGAAGAGAGTGAGGGGCTAGTCTTCTTTCTGGTCCCTAGACCCCTGCTGCCCACTTGGTCCCTGACCTTAGGTCCCAGCACCCAGGTACCAGTGGTGAAAGAGGTGGACACGGGTGGCGTGAGGCTCTCGCCCCACAAGGCCCGGAGCCATGCGCTGTAGGAGGTGGAGGGAAAGAGGCCCAGGAGCTGGTGAGAGGTGGCCCCTCCTGGGAGCAGAATCTCCTGTGGGACAGGAAGGAGAAGGTCAGGGGTGAAGGAGGTGGATCCCCACTGGGAGAGGCAAAAGCAGAGCACCACCTCCCAGGGAGCTGGCCAATGGGGCAGGGGTGGAGGCACCTGGGTATGTCCACCAGGGGTGTCAAAGCTGAGCAGGTAGCCACTCGGTGGAATTTGGGGTTCAGTCCAAGTGAGCAGGGCTGTGCGGGGGGTCACTTCCTTGGCCTCCAAGTCTTGGGGTGCCTCCAGCCCTGGAAGGAGAAGGTGGGCAGAGAGGATGGAAATGAGGTTCATCCAGACTCCCTGGAACCTCCCCTCCTTTGCTCTGCACACCTCACAGGCTGTACCTGTGGTGAAGGTGATGCTGGCTGGGGAGGTGAGGTTGGGGCCCCGAAGACCGCGTACAGTTGCTGTGTAGTTGGTGTGGAGCTCGAGGTTGCTCAGGGCATAGTCCACAGCACTGCCGGGGGCTGAGGCCTGCAGAGGGGGTGCTGGCAGTGGAGGATGGGCATCAGCAGTGGAGGATGGGCATCAGCAGTGGAGGATGGGCATCAGCATCTGCCCCCTCCGTGACCTTCCAGAGTCCAGCCTGCCCTCTGCTCTTCCCACCCTGCACACTCCCTCCCAAGGCCTCACCCCGCTCACCCCCTGGGGCTGTGACCTGGACATCATATGTGTCCACAGGGGCCTGGGGGGGTTTCCAGTGCAGCAGGGCAGATTCCTCAGTCAAGTTCAGTGCTCGGAGCTGGGTGGGGCCATCAGGTACTGGGAGAAGGGAGGTGTCTCAAAGCTGTCCTCTTTGCTCTTCCCCCCCTTCCCTTCCCAAGCTCTGCTGAGCCTCTTGTCTGTAATTGGAGACACTAACACCCTGTCCTCCACCCAAGTTCACTCAACTCCCTCCCACACCCTCATTTTCTCCCCTTTCCTCCTGCCCAGGTCTCTGTCCATCTCACCTGTGGTGAGAAAGCCTGTGAGAGGCTCACTCTCCTCAAAGCCACGGACAGAAACCACAGTCACCTCATAGTGAGCACCTGGGATCAGCCCCTCGAGTTTCTGGGTCTGAACTCGGCCATCCACCTGCATGCTCTGTGGCTCCCCTGTAAACATGGTGGGCTTGGAAGGTTGCCCAGGGAAGTAAGGAGGAGTTGCAGGTGGTCGGGGTGCAGGGTGCAGGAGAAACGAGCACAAATGAGGACATGGACAAAGGTGTCACCTCCATCTGCTAGCTGGTAGGAAACTTTGAAACTGTCCACTCTGGATGGTGGGGGCATCCAGCTGACCTTGGCTGAGGTTTCCCCGATTTCGCTGAACTGGAGGTCACTGGGGCTTTCCAGAACTGAGGGGAGGGATGTACCAAAGAATGATGGTGAGGGCCCAGGGTAGGGAGGTTCCTGCCCCAAGATTCCTACCCCTCTTTCTCCCTGGGTCCCACTAGCTCCAGACATGCTAACCCCACCCCTTTCTTCCAGACCTAGAAGTGGAAGTCACTCTGAGATTCCTCTAAGCCCTCCATGACTCACCAACCTCCTTTCTGGCTGAGGGTATAGGTCCCACCCTATCAAGTACAAAAACTCCCCCCCGCACCAACCTTGAGACGGGCCCAGCATGTGGAGCCCTACCTGGGCTGAGGGTACGAGCTGTGCCCTGGATGCCGTCAGCCTTGTGAGGCCCACGCAGCCCATACAATGTAAGACTGTACAGAGTGCCGGGACGCAGGTCCCGGAGCACAGCTGAGCGCTGGGTCCCTGACACTGTCAGCTCCCGCTGCATCAGGGGACTGGGATGCGGCTCCAGAGTGCTTGCTGATGGGACCCCAAAGCGGAGCAGGAAGGAGTCAAAGGCCCCAGGTGGGGCGTCCCAGTTGAGCCGCATTGAACTTGTGGTCACATCAGTCACTGACAGCTGGGACAGGTGGGGCCCTGGCTCCTCTGGGGTCTGACCTGCAGGAGCTGGCCCTGCACAGAGTGGGTGTGAGACAGAGGCACACCAGCTCAGTGACCTGGGGCAGGTGCCTTTCACCACCCCACCTTGGCCCTAAATGGAGCTAAGAGGTGCTGTCACCCACAGGAGGGATCCACAGTGAAAATGTGTGGAGAGCTTCTAGTGCACCCCTTCCTTCCTCCATGGAACCCTCCACATTCTTTCCCCATGGTCATCACTTCTCGGCACCCTCTGCCATTCTCTCAGCCCCAGACTAGAAGCAGGTACCTGTGGTGCCCTCAGCTGAGACGGGCCCTAGGTGGCTCCCTCTGTGAAGGCCATACAGGAAGAACCTGTAGGAAGTGCTGGGCTCCAGGCCTGACACGAGGACCTTGTTCTGGTCGCCACCCACAAGCAAGGCCTGGGGCTGCCCATCTATGTCTTGATACTGGACCACGAAGGAGTCAAATGGGCCCTGAGCCACAGTCCATGAGAGGTGCAGGGAGTCCGGGGTCACGCTGCTCACTGTCAGTGCCCGTAGGCGGGGCTCTTCAGGGGGCTCAGGGGCCTCTGTGGCAGGGCGCCAGGAGGAGGCTGCTGTGTCCTCCTCTGGGGCTGTGTGGGTGAAGCCCAAGGGACAAGCTGAGAGGAGGGTATAGCAGAGACTTCCCCACTCCCTTTCTGTCTCCAAAGAGGGGGTTCTGGGGATGGCCCAAGGCTGAGGTGGGCCATGACAGGTCCTGGCCATGGCAGCCAGGTGGACAGATGGAAGGGGCTGAGGCTTTTCTGGCATCTTCCTTCTCTTGAATCTGCCAGTTCCCTGCTTTGGCAGACTCCTGCCACCCCTGGGCCTCTCTGAGTGCCACCGCCATGGCCCCATTATCACTTTGTGGGGCTCCTTTTCTGTGTCTGAATCAGGTGCTTGCTTTCCCTCTCTGCACCCTAATCCTAACCCTCCCCACCCTGCCTGGGATGCCTATGCCAATGGCCTGCGGCAGGAATAACGTGGCCACCCAGAGCTCGGGCATGTTGTCCTCCCTTCTGAGAAAAGCTGAGGATGGAGCCAGCTGGTGAATGTGATGGGCGAACTCATGCTGGCCAGGCTGGGCCCACATGCCCCGTCAGGCTGACCTGAGCTGGATGTTAGCTCCAGAAGAGGAGCCTGCTCCATCAATGTAGCCACTTCTTTCTGTGACCCTTGCCCATTTTGTTTTCCAGTAATTTTCCATTTGAGAAAATGCTTCTGACTCATCCACTGGAGGGGGTGTGCCCCTATCTGGGCCACCCGGTGGGGGGTTGGGGGGACAAGAGCTGCCCCAGTAGAGTAATGGGAAGCAGCTGGCAGTGCTGGGGCAGGGTGGGTGTCAGGAGATTGGGGACCACTGCCAGGGCCTTTCCTTGCTGGCAGTGGTCCAGCTTTTGGCTGACGCCTTGATCACCACCAGAGCTGCTCCACTGTGTGTCTCCTGCCTCCTGAACCCTGGGAAGGGCTTGCTCACACCCCTGCCCACTTCAGCCAGAGGCACAAGGAAACCACTCAGGCTGGCTTGCTAGGGCCAAGCAGGACAGCCTCCTGCTCACCTGTCACTCCCAGGACGGAGATGGGGCCCAGGCGCTGTTCTCTGAGGAGCCCATAGAGCAGAAACTTGTACTTCCTGCCAGGCTCCAGGCCCTCTATGGTGACCTCCCGCTGGTCTTCAGCCACAGACACTGCCTGGGGTTGCCCATTTGTGTCCCTGTACAGTACCACGAAGGAGTCAAAGGGGCCCTGGGCCACTGTCCATGAGAGTCGCAGGGAGTCTGGGGTCTCATCCGTCACTGTCAGTGCCCCCAGGCGGGGCAGGGGTTGCCGCTCCTTCTCCAGGGCAGCTGTGGGGAGAAATTCTTAGTCAAGAGCTGCCTTGACTCAGCCCTGCAGCTTCTGGGAGGTGTGAGGGTCTGGGAAAGGGTCTCTGAGGTGTGACTGAGGAGATAGGCCTGCTCCAGGCTGCCCTATAGGAAGAGGGTAGTCTCCTGCCCTGGAGGTCACTGCCCCCACTCCCTCCCTGCTGTGATCAGGATTCAGTAAACACATAAGAGATCACTTTGTGAGAAAAGGGTGGCTTGGGTACAGAGAAGGGCCTCAGGTTCTCCCTGAACCCCAAACACCTGGGCAAGGATGTGGTCGGAACTAACAAAAGGCCCCAGAAGGTATTTGGATGGTCGGGAAGATGCCTCCAAAGATTAAGAACTGGGCTGGGCAGCTTGTCCAGCGCACAGGCTCCTGCCACCCGGCTATGACTTCCCCCTTGCTCACCATCAGCCTGAGCCCTCCTCCTTCTGCCCATTTCCCCAGCCTCGCACTAACCCTGCTGGGCCAGGGCAGCTGGGTAGGGCAGGGGGAGAAGCCAAGTTAGAGAAGAACACAGAAGAGACTTGTCTGGGAAGGAGTGGGTGTAGACTGATGGGGGTCAGAGACGAAGCCATATCTGATCTCCATAATGAGGTTTTGGGAAAGAGAATTATAGAGTCTGAGGGCCTCAGGACCTAACTGACCATGTGCCCCATCCTCGTCTGGCCAAGGTGACTCATGGTCCTAGGAGTGGGTGAAGGCCAGGGACCCACCCCCACCCCTTCCTCAGGGGCTGAGTCATGGGCACAATGACACCAGATTTTTCCATAGTCTTTTTGCAGCCAATCCTTCCCATATTTTCCACCTCTTGCCTCAGAGTTGGGACAGAGGGAGGAGGATGTGAACATTTACTGTGTGCCAGTAGGTATTATTCATAACCATTATGCAAGTGCGGAAACCGAGTTTCAAGGGAAAGAAGTGGCTTGTCCATGGCCACACAACTGGCAACTGATATCTGAACATGTCTGCTTGGCTCTAATGCTTGGGTTCTTATTACAATGGCAGTAGGTGAATGAAGAAATTAATGCATATAATATACTTAGAACAATGCCTGGCATGCAATGTTTGTTTCAGGTGTTATGGTTGTCATGTCCAGGCTGAAGACAGCAGAATAAACTTCAGGGGAAGGCAGTGGGGCCAGCTCTGGGGGCTTGGATAAGAGGCAGTTCTGGAAAAGGTTGGAAGCAGGGCTGGGCTCACCTGTGGTACCATCAGCAGAGATAGGGCCCAGCCGCTTCCTGCCTGCCAGGCCATAGAGCAGGAACTTGTATTTCCTATTGGGCTCCAGGTGGGTGATGGTGATCTCATGATGGTCTGTGGCCACTGGCAGCACCTGGGGCTGCCCGACCCTGTCTTTATACTGGACCACGAAGGAGTCGAATTTGCCCTCAGGGACTGTCCATGAAAGGTGCATAGAGTCTGGGGTCACATCCATCACTGTCAGCTCCCCAAGGCGGGGAGAATGTTTCCTGTCTGGGTCTGGAAAATAGAGGTGCATGGAGCATGAGAGAAGCAGTGACAGAAGCAGGCCGAGCTTCCTCCAGGATGCTAGGGGCTGGGAGCTGCTTTTGGGAGCCAGGAGCAGGTAGCCTCAGGCTGCTTGTCAGGAAGTGGGGAGACAGAGGAGTAGGGATAAAAGAGGAGCCATGCAGGGTTCTTCCTAGGAGGACTGGGGAGAAGGATGGGACTGAGGGGTAAATAGGGAGCTCAGGATCTGGATTTCAGGACCTGGAGTGTGGAGCACAGAAACATGAAATTCCAACTGTCACCACAAGGACTGAAGGTTGACCAGAAGGTTCCAGGGCTAAGGGTGGCCACCAGCCCTTACTCACTGGTCTTGGCTTCTGTTGACACTGGGCCAAGCCGTTTCCCATCTCGGAGTCCAAAGAGTAGGAACTTGTACTTGTGGGCTGGGTCCAGACCCGAGACAGTGACCTCACGGAGGTCTCCACCAATGGGCACTGCCTGGGGCTGTCCCTGTGCATCCTTGTACTGTACCAGGAAGGAGTCGAAGGGTCCCTGGGCCACTGTCCATGAGAGGCGCGCTGTGTCTGAGGTCATGGCTGCTACAGCCAGCTCCCCCAGGCGGGGCACCACGAGGGGCTCTGTGGGCAGCGGGGCTGGAATACAGCAGAGGAGGTTGAGGGGTCAGTGGCAGCACTCCGTGCAGAGAGGGAGTGCTTTCCCTAGGCTATGAAAGGAACTTTTCACAGCAAACTTTTCTAAAGTGTTTAGTGTGACCCAGGCATTGCTGTAAGCAATCAAATAGCATGCACATAATCCTCACACAACAGATGAAGTAGGTGCCCTTAATATTATCATCCCCGTTGTGTGGGAATTAGCACCAGAGAGAGAGGTTAAGGAACATAAGATCACACCATCAGTATGTGCAGAGCAGGATTCAAACACAGAGAACCTGGTTCGGTAGCCATTTTCACAGCCACTAAAGCACCCCGTCAGAGCCTGAGGAAGCCACATATGAATGGTTCAGCAGGTCAGATGTTCCCAATCTTGAAGGGAGGAAGACAGCTAAAATTTCTGGGGCACAGGCTACATGCCCAATTGACCCTGAATATTCCTCATAAGTCATTACTCAATTCAAGGATGAGACAAGATAAGTACCATATGAGAAAAGAGAGGGACCCAGAGGTCCATTGTGAGGAGTACTGAACACCAAAGGGGGAATGCAAGGCAGCAACAGAGGGAAACATGGTGGTCAGGGCTGCCTCTCACTCACCGGTCACGCCCACAGTGGACACGGGGCCCACGCGCTGTCCGCCGTGCAGGCCGTACAGGTGCATCTTGTACTTGCGCCCCGGCTCCAGGCCTCCAACCGTGACCTCACTCTCCTCGCCCCCAACACGCACCACCTGGGGCCGTCCCTCCCTGTCCTTGTACTGGACAGTGAAGGAGTCAAAGTGGCCCTGGGGGACGGTCCAGGAGAAGCTCAGTGAGTCTGGGGAGGATCCTGTCACTGTCAGCTCCCCAAGGAGGGGCTCCTCTGGGGGCTCTGGGGCCTCCAAGCTGGGTTCTGTGGGGCTGGGGGTCTCTTCCTCTGCAGCTGAGAAGGAGAGACACAGAGAGGGTGAGGCAGGGTCCCTGGGAGGCACCCTGGGGCTTTGTCCAAGCAGGGTCCTGATGGGGCCCTGAGGTCAGGTCAGAGAAGCCTGACCTTGGGGCTGGGTGGCGCTGATCAGCTGACACCTCACAAACATGCCCAGAGACTGCTGGGTCAGCTGTGGGGGACCAGGACAGCCAGCAGCACAGTTCACGGTGACCTCTGTCTGCCCAGGAGGACCCTTGGTCCCCAGGGAGGCCAGGGGGGAGGCACACAGGGCACCATGGCTCAGCCTGGAGCAGAGGGGCCCCCTGCACCCCACTCACCCATGCCGAAAGAGAGGTGATGCTCCTGCTGGGTCCCACCCTGGGGCTTCCACCCTCTACTCACCTGTCACCCCGATGGCAGAGATGGGGCCCACCCGCTGGCCACCATGGAAGCCGTACAGGTTCATCTTGTACTTGTGGTCTGGCTCCAGGCCCGAGATGGTGACCCTGTCCTCGTGCCCCTGCACCAGCACCGCCTTGGGCTGCCCGTCCCCGTTCTTGTACTGAACCAGGAAGTGGTCAAACTGGCTCTCGGGGACGGTCCAGGAGAGGCGCAGTGAGTCAGGGGTGGCGTCTGTCACTGCCAGCTCTCCCAGGCGAGGCTTGGTGGGAGGCTCAGGGGTCGTGGTGGGTGGGGTTTGGGTGGTCATGGCTTTGTAGTCTGGAGCTGGACAGAGACAGACAGGACAGGAGGGGAGCTCAGCAGTTCAGCTCATGAGGGCGTCACCTAACTCAGATAATAAGGAGCAGAATGCTGCTGACCACAGTGCTTCTAACTCACCCGTTCCTCCCACTGTCCTAGTGTCAGCTGTCCCATTGCCTGGCCCTCCTCCACCTCGCCCTCACCCACCACCTCCTACCCTGTGACCTCCTCCAATCACTGGCATCCACGGTTCCTCTGAACTCAGACCCGCGTGGCCACTGTGTCTGAAGCCTGCCTCCACTTGGGTCTCCTAGCATCTCACTGCCTTTGGCTCATGTCTTTGCTCTCCAACAGCTCTGAAGCCCCTTCCCCAGTCAGAAACCTGGAGTCTTCCTGGACCTGTTCCTGCCCCCAGTGGCCATTCAGACTCAGAATGTCCAACTCTCACTCCTGAGTTCCTCCTGGGTCTCCTCACTCCCTGCCCCGAAGCACCACATGGCATCCTGGTCTGGGCCACCCTCCCCTCTCACCTGAGTTGCAAGCTCCCTGCTTCCCTCCCCTAACCCTCTTCACAGGGACCAGAATGAGCCTTAAGTGCACATCTAATGGTGTCAGTCTTGGCTTAAACTGTGCAACAGCCCTGCTTATCCCCAGGATAAATACCTGGTTCATGAACTGCCCCTGCCACTCCACCCCCATCCAAAGAGTGGTCTCCTCACTGGAAGGATTTTGTACAAATCCTCTCAGTTTCTCTCACATAACATGTTGTTCCTAGTCTCCAGGCCCTTGCACCTGCTGTGACGGTGATCTGACACACTCCTCATCCTGTCTCTAAAGCTGTCCCCTGCCTGACCTGATGTTAGCTGTCCTGTGGGTACCTGTGGGCAGTCTGGCCTGGTTCAGATGGCTTTCTGTCACACACACATTCCCCTTTGGCTGATTTGCTGGTTTGTGGCCTGTCTTCCCATGACACAGGTCCCACTGTGATAACCCATCCCTGCCATGGTCCAGGTTTGCCCCTGTGAACTCCCACAGAGCTTGGGTCAGGACACCCATCTTGTTGAGCCACGGAAGCCATAGGTCTGGTGACACCAACCCAGGTGGCCTGGGAGCTGCATTCTGAGCAGCCTTCCTCCACAGCCTCCATCAGCAAGAGAGAGCCTGAGCCTCTAAGAGGAACCAGGGATGCAAGTAATCTACTCTCAAAAAAATTCTAACAACTTGTCCAATTCCTTCGCTGTGGGGGTGTTGCTGTTCAAAGGGTAGTCCTCAGACTGTCTTGTTAGAAATGCAGGCTTTCTGGCCCCAGCCTCATATGTGCTGAATCCCAATCTGCCCTTTAACGAGGTCACAGCCATCTGATGTGTGAATGAATAAAACATGCTTCCTAGGATATTTATATTTCATGAAGATGGTAAAAGGAACCTTCCAGGGCCTGTCATGCCCATGCTGCCCCACCACGGCCCTCACTCACCGGTCACGCCCACAGTGGACACGGGCCCCACGCGCTGTCTGCCGTGCAGGCCGTACAGGTGCATCTTGTACTTGCGCCCCGGCTCCAGGCCTCCAACGGTGACCTCACTCTCCTCACCCCCAACACGCACCACCTGGGGCCGTCCCTCCCTGTCCTTGTAGTGGACAGTGAAGGAGTCAAAGTGGCCCTGGGGGACGGTCCAGGAGAGGCTCAGCGAGTCTGGGGAGGATCCTGTCACTGTCAGCTCCCCAAGGAGGGGCTCTGTGGGGCTGGGGGGCTCTTCCTCTGCAGCTGAGGAGAGACACAGAGAGGGTGAGGCAGGGTCCCTGGGAGGTACCCTGGGGCTTTGTCCAAGCAGGGTCCTGATGGGGCCCTGAGGTCAGGTCAGAGAAGCCTGACCTTGGGGCTGGGTGGCGCTGATCAGCTGACATCTCACAAACATGCCCAGAGACTGCTGGGTCAGCTGTGGGGGACCAGGACAGCCAGCAGCACAGTTCACGGTGGCCTCTGTCTGCCCAGGAGGACCCTTGGTCCCCAGGGAGGCCGGGGGGGAGGCACACAGGGCACCATGGCTCAGCCTGGAGCAGAGGGGCCCCCTGCACCCCACTCACCCATGCCGAGAGAGAGGTGGTCCTCCTGCTGGGTCCCACCCTGGGGCTTCCACCCTCTACTCACCTGTCACCCCGATGGCAGAGACGGGGCCCACCCGCTGGCCACCATGGAAGCCGTACAGGTTCATCTTGTACTTGTGGTCTGGCTCCAGGCCCGAGATGGTGACCCTGTCCTCGTGCCCCTGCACCCGCACCACCTTGGGCTGCCCGTCCCCATTCTTGTACTGAACCAGGAAGTGGTCAAACTGGCCCTCAGGGATGGTCCAGGAGAGGCGCAGGGAGTCGGGGGTGGTGTCTGTCACTGTCAGCTCCCCCAGGCGAGGCTTGGTGGGAGGCTCAGGGGTCGTGGTGGGTGGGGTTTGGGTGGTCATGGCTTTGTAGTCTGGAGCTGGACAGAGACAGACAGGACAGGAGGGGAGCTCAGCAGTTCAGCACATGAGGGTGTCACCCAACTCAGATAATAAGGAGCAGAATGCTGCTGACCACAGTGCTTCTAACTCACCCGTTCCTCCCACTGTCTTAGTGTCAGCTGTCCCATTGCCTGGCCCTCCTCCACCTCGCCCTCACCCACCACCTCCTACCCTGTGACCTCCTCCGATCACCAGCATCCACAGTTCCTCTGAACTCAGACCCGCGTGGCCACTATGTCTGGAGCCTCCCTCCACTTGGGTCTCCTAGCATCTCACTGCCTTTGGCTCATGTCTTTGCTCCCCAACAGCTCTGAAGCCCCTTCCCTGGCAGAAACCTGGAGTCTTCCTGGACCTGTTCCTTGTCCCCAGTGGCCATTGGAATCAGAGTGTCCACTCACCTGTCACCCCGATGGTGGACACAGGGCCCACACGCTGCCCCCCGTGTAGGCCGTACAAGTGCATCTTGTACTTGCGCCCCGGCTCCAGGCCTCCAACGGTGACCTCACTCTCCTCACCCCTGACACGCACCACCTGGGGCCGCCCCTCCCTGTCCTTGTACTGGACAGTGAAGGAGTCAAAGTGGCCCTGGGGGACAGTCCAGGAGAGGCTCAGCGAGTCTGCAGAGGATCCTGTCACTGTCAGCTCCCCCAAGAGGGGCTCCTCAGCATACTCAGGGGCCTCTGAGCTGGGTTCTGTCGGGCTGTGGGTGTCTTTTACTTCTGTAGGGCTGGAGATATTGTCCAGAAGTTCCTTGGTGGCTGAGAGAAGAGATGGGGACAAGCATAAATGGTGACATATTTGCTGGTAATGTTGATAGGGACAAGAAAGAGCATGCAGCCAATATTCTACTTCATCTGTGGGCTTGTAGGCTCTAGTAGCCTTTGTAGCTATTGGGTAACTCATTGACGGAGAGGGCTGAGACAGGCCCCCATCCTCTGTCATGTATTGGCTAGCAGGCACCATAACCCTTCAGAAGGCAATTCAGATAGTGTAAGGAGCCACTAACAATGCTCATTTCCTTTGACCCAGTAATCCCAATTCCGGGCCACTGTCCTAAGAAAATTATTAAAAAGCAGGAGAGAGTTGTGTCATGGGAGTTCATTATGGGATTATTCATGACAGCAAAATGTGTCAATGACTCAAACGACCTGTAGAAGATACTTAATTTTGTTTTGGCACTTTCACCACAAAGCATCAGATGACTGTTAAAATGATGATTAATGCAGGTGTACAGCCACAAAATAAATGCTCACAATGTACCTTGTGTACAAAACAAAAAAGGAAGAGCCAAGACGTGCATGCACACTCTGCGGCTGCGAAGCAGGTGCTGCCAGGAAAACACACATTGTTAGCAGCGGGAGGTACTGGGGCAAATTGCAGCCTGCTCAGAGATTTTCCCCTTATTTTTCAAACTTTCCATCATAGTGCTATGCTCTTTTCACTAGAAAAATATGGTCTTAAAAAAAATCTGGACTATAAAAATTAATAATCATTGCAGGATGTGGAGTGGGGACATGGGTCCCTTAAGCTGCCCTGTCTACTTTGTATGTGCCTGTGATGCCACCATGATAGAGGGGAAAACACTCAACAGTGGATGAGATTTAACAGCCTTCCCTCGAGGTATGAACCGTTCTAATGTTTATTTTCTGATGGTTCTCCTGTTCTCCCCTCCTATTACACTCCTGAACACCTACAGAAATGAGGCCATCCCTTAGGAGTCAGGGAGGCTAGTGGAAATTATTCCTCTATCCGGAGTATCCTCAGGAGGAGAGCGTGAACCTCCCAAAGCTGCTCACGTTGGGTCACAAAGGCACTGACCTGCCCTTTGAAAGACCAACTCTTAGAGAAGCCTATCCTTCCACACCCAGAGGAACTCTCTGGAAATGCTCGCACCAGGCATAAGAATCAGGCTGACACTGACTTCCAAAAGCCAGCCTGACTTCATTCACCTTATGATTTTCCACCTCTAATTTCTTAGGGACTAGAAATTGTAACTTTTTCATGATTATAAATGAAATAAATTGTGAGAGCCCTGGGGGGAAAAGACAGAAGGAGTTCAAGGGAAAAGACACTATGTTAAAAAAAATTTTCCCGTGATTATAAAAGAAATATTGTATTATAAAAGACAAATGCTTGTCTTATAAAAGAAAATTTGGACAACACAGAAGAAAACAAACAAAAAAAAAGGGCTGGAACATTCTATTCTGTCCCACAAACCGTGCCTCCCATGGCAAGCTTCCTTCCAGTTTTCTTGCCATCCATGTTATTTTCCAGCAGTTGTGATTAGCATCCTTACAAAATTTTTGGACTCTTTTTTCAGTGTAATACTATAAAGTAATTGTCTTATGTAAAACATTTCAACTATGGCATAACAGTTCATCTTACATATTTTGCCTAATTATTTAATCATCCCAATGTGACTGGATGATGGGTTGTTTCTCTCTCTCTCTCTTTTTTGTGGTTATAACAAAGAATGCTATGATTAAGATGGAAGGAAAATCAGAGAAGTCAGGCTTGGCCTGTACTTGACCATTTTACCACTAGGGGTGGCCAGGGGCTGATTACCAGAAGGAGGCCATGCTAGTGTAGACAATGAGGCTGCAGGTTGGCAAAGGCCCAACTAATAGGCCTAGTCATGGCGGAGGGCCATAGAGGAAAAACACGAGGGAGGGAGGGGCCAAAGCCTGACCTGTTAGGCACTGGTGAAATAGCAGGGAATCAACTGGGTTGCCCATCAGGAAAGGTATTTCTTCCCTGAGACCCCCTGAGCCCTGCCCTCACTCACTGGTCACGCCCACAGTGGACACGGGGCCCACGCGCTGTCCGCCGTGCAGGCCGTACAGGTGCATCTTGTACTTGCGCCCCGGCTCCAGGCCTCCAACGGTGACCTCACTCTCCTCGCCCCCAACACGCACCACCTGGGGTCGCCCCTCCCTGTCCTTGTACTGGACAGTGAAGGAGTCAAAGTGGCCCTGGGGGACGGTCCAGGAGAGGCTCAGCGAGTCTGGGGAGGATCCTGTCACTGTCAGCTCCCCAAGGAGGGGCTCCTCAGGGGGCTCTGGGGCCTCCGAGCTGGGTTCTGTGGGGCTGGGGGGCTCTTCCTCTGCAGCTGAGGAGAGACACAGAGAGGGTGAGGCAGGGTCCCTGGGAGGTACCCTGGGGCTTTGTCCAAGCAGGGTCCTGATGGGGCCCTGAGGTCAGGTCAGAGAAGCCTGACCTTGGGGCTGGGTGGCGCTGATCAGCTGACATCTCACAAACATGCCCAGAGACTGCTGG